AAGGCCGCTCTTGTCTGTTTCTTGAATGCGCGGGCGACTCCCGTGCGTCCTCCCTGGGCGATGATGCATCCATACGGGAGCTGCTTGTGTCGTGGTCATCCCTCGGCCGCCCGCACCCGCCGCGCACGGTTGTTGTTATTGTTGACGACGACAGCCAACTGGCGAGTGTGCTGCTGTCGTGGGTGCGAGTGCCATGGAGCCAAAACGCGCTGCTCCTCCCCGTCTTTGGCGTGAGTGCGCTGGGGACCCACAATGCCTCCCGGCAGGAACTCGTGTTGCCGCCGTCGCTGTCGTCGGTCGCAGCCGCTGCGCCGAGGATGACTTCCGATGACGCATCCGCGTCCCACAGGTTTTTCCGGATTCTCACGTTTGCCGTCCAGTACTTTGGCATTGACGTTCACCGCAGCGCCTGCCTCACGCTGACGAGCCCTTTTCTGCGGGCTGCGGAGTCGCTGGGGTTTCAGGCTGCGGGGGATTACGCCCGCATCTGCGCTTGGGTACTGCACTCGCCTGCCCACGCGACCGCGCCGCGGGGCTTGCTAGACGTTGACGGGGAGCGGGAGCGCCTCTTCACAGAGCTGTGTGCCACCAATGGACTGGCGCGGGCCTTGCGGGCGAGTCCGCGCCGGCCAGAGATTCTGCTCCGCTGCGTGGCTTCCATGCGGGTGGGGATAGTGCGCCCCGTCGTGTGTGACGCCGTTGCCCTCGCCCCGAGATTTTCGGCCGGCGCCCGCGAGCGACGCTCGCTGGACGCGCTGCTCGCGCTCTCGCCGGAGCAGCGCCGTCGCGTGTATCGTTACATGGCCGCCTTCTTCACGAAGGAGGTCTTCCGCATCGCCGTGGACATCGTTGAGTCGTGCGCCGCAGACTACTTTTCGGGTTACCACTTCGCCGCCGTCGGGTACTTGCGCTACGAGCTGTCAAGTTGCGTGCGGCGCCACGTGTTTGCCGAGTTGCAAGTGGACCTGCAGCCACTACTGGCGGGGACTCCGTCGGCTGCGGAGGCCGCGACGGAGGCGCACTGGTCCAGCGTGTTCCGGCGCCTCTCGTGCACCTGCACCCCACGACGCCACGAACGACTCCTTCGAACCGAAACTGGCGAGAAGAAGTGCCGCCACTTGGCGCAGCTGCTGTACTGGTTTTTGCGGCCGCGGCCGTCTGGCGCTACCGCCTCCCCCAGAATATCTGGGCCAAACAACGCTGCACGCCGTGGGGGCGGCGCTCGTCACGGTGCTTCTGCCCGTTCAGTGGATGCCCCGAGCACGGCGAAGCGTGCCCGGGTGGCGGGTTTTGCCCGAGCGGAGTCTGACGTGGCGAATGGCGGGGGCGGGGGCCGGGGTGAGCCCTCAAAGGAAAGCCCCCTGAGTGAAGACATGACCCTGCTGGAGCTCGCTCGCAGGCTGGAGAGGGCGTGCGGCCGGTAGAGGCGGGGGGGCACGGCGTGGGGGCTTCTAGAGCCGAGCGCGCGCCGTCCCCTCCGGCCGCAGTTGCCTCCCCGCCTCCCTCCGAGAAGTGTGCGCATCTCTGCCTCTGAGCCTTTGGGGCCTGCAACTCCGCCCCGATGCTCCGTTGTTTCCCTCCCTCCCCTTCTTTATGTTCCCGCCCCCTCCGTCCCTCCCCTCTGGGCGAGAGCGATGTTGGGCGGCACTGACGGCGGTGCACACGCACACACCCTCCGCACGCTGACGGGCATCGCGGCTGCGTCCCGGCGGGCCTTCTGCGGCGAAAAAGATACTCGGCTTTCCCCGTCGCTTATTCTTTTTTGTTTTTGCCTGCTAACTGGCAACCCCGTCGTCCGATGCTGCTGGTGGTGGTGGTGGGGTTGCGCCGCCCTCGCCACGCACACACGCCGTGCTGCCTGATGGAGGAGGAAGTTATCTCACGCTCCTTCTCCCTCTCTCTCTACGGCCCTGCGGGCACGGCAACGCCCCGCCGCTCGCACCGCTCCGCGAAAGACTCGCGGGTAAGGGGAATAATAAATAAACATATAATTGTCTCTTCTTTTCACTTCGCCGCGCGACACAAACGAAATGCCACACACACACACCACATGCGCTTGAAAAATGAACAAAGTTTTCCTTTTAGGGCTTTTTTTTTGCCTTCGCGGCACGGCGAGGTGAGGGCGCCACGCCTTTGCAACCGTTTGGCCGCGGCCGCCCGGCAGAGCGACGGGGCAGCGGAGGCTGATGCAGAAGTCGGCTGCCACGGACACCGCCGACTTGGCGTCGCTCCCGCCGGACGAGTTGTCGGAGTTCGCGCCGGTTGGCCGAGTGGAGTCGACGCTCATCGACGCCGACGAGGAGCTTCTCCGCACCGCCGGCGTCGCGACGCTGGAGGCGGACCGCTCGCAGCGGGAGGTGGACCGCTGGCGCCTCGAGGCGAGCGCGCAGCTGCACCGCCTCACAAAGCTGCGGCGCGACAAGGCACTTCTCGCAGAGGAGATAGCGAGGCTTGAGAGGAGCCTGGGGGAGGCGAGGGCCGCCGCGGCTGCGCCTGCCCTTGGGCCTGGCGCAGCCTCCCCGCCCCGCCCTCCGCAGGGCGGACTGGGCGACGCAGGCGACGATGGACTCCGCGTCATGCAGGGGACCTTCACGCCGCAAACGCGCGGGAGCGGTGGGGCGGCGGCGGCGGCGGCGGATGTTGAGCTGCGCTACCTCATCAGCCGCGCCATTGCGTCACTGGACTCCATCCAGGCCGATATTACCGCCCTGCGGCAGCAGCACGCTGACTTGTGGCACCGGAGGCGGGAGATCGCGGAGGACACTGCGCGTCTGAAGGACACCTATCAGCGACAGGAGACGCAAAAGGAGGAGCTGCTGCAGCAAAAGCTTTTCATCAAGGCCGCCGAGGCTGATCCGGCGTTCCGCAAGGCTCTACAAAAGAGAACGGAGCTAAAGGAGTTTGTCCGGCACGCGACGGATCGTCGTGCCGCGCTTAAGCAATCCCGTATGCAGCGTACCTCGATGGTTGCACACCTGTTAGATGGCGCCAAGTCCCGTGAGCGGAGCGCGTGCAGGGTGCACGAGGCGATAGCAAAGAGGCAGGGGCTTAGCGACCACCCCATGTACCCAATGCTGCTGGCCCTGCAGCAGGAGAACAAGGAGCTGCGCACGAGGTATCTGCAGATGGTCCGGAGCAGCGAGGAGGAGGATGCCGCCCTTTCAGAATACCTGGACGTGCTGGAAGAGCGACTGTTGCTGGAGCTGAGGTCGGAAGTTTCCCCTGATGGGACTGTATGACTACTACTATCCCTGCTTTTTTTTTACCCCTCTCTCGCTGCAAGCCGCGGAGGCGGCCTGACTGTAACCAACATTACATGCTTAACGCTGGAGTCGTGCCCCCTGCTTCGAAGGTGGCGGGGGAAAGTGTGAGGGGGCAACCAAACGGGG